TAGAATTCTTTGATTTTAATATTTGTTGAACAAGGTCTTGCTGCAATATTGACCCAGCGAAAAGATTGTCGTTTAGGCTTCTTTTATTTGAAGTGGGGCTTGAAGCATTAAAAACTACACGAAGTTTCGTAGTTAACTGATCAGGTTTGATGACTGCATGGTGCGGCAAATATTAATTTGGGATCTGATCTATCTCTTCAGGTGAAAGTTTTCTCATATGTCCCAAATCTAGGTACTCTAAAATCGCTTTGTCATATGAGTCTCTGATTTCAGGAGTCTTTGAAAGACTTTTTTTCATTCTAAAGCATTTTGCGAGCGCAATATTTCGGGAATTCCCTAACTCCTCACAATTTTTAAAGGGTAGGGTAACAATATATCGCCCATCTTTATTTCTCTTTGTTGTTTTTAGGTAGTTTTGTTCGCAGAAGGAGTCTTCTTCTGACCTCAAAACCCTTTTTGGGGGCTCTTCCACCTCCCAAAAACGTGCAATAATCTTTTCTATTGAAGTTGTGTGAAACAAGGAAACGTTATAAGGGTATTGGACCGCCTATTATCCAACCAAATACTGTATTTTGCGCTAAAAATGAGCCAAGTGATTTTATAGGAGTGCCTACTGTCAAAATTAAGGGTCCTATATCCATCCCTAAGAGAAGATCGACAGGTTGACTTATGTGGAATTTTGGGTCTGCTAAGTTGAGATCTATAATATCAGTAAGTTTAGTCTTTTCAATATTTTGTGGAGGTAAATTAGGTGGAGGGGTCTTCAAAACTGGCGCCCATACGTCTAACTCAAATTTAGGAGCTAAACGATAACGAAGCTGGAAAAGGCAAGATTTTGTAGACGTTTCTGAGACAATTTGACTAAGTCCCGTAACATGAACAAGGCTTTTTTTTTTGTTGGCAAATTCAATTTGTTTTTAAGTTTTTCTGAGGATACAGGGTCAATAATTGCTCTGGCATCTTATGATTGTCCTCTATTTTGTATTTGTACAATGGCAGTGAAAAGCAAAGTTGCACTAGGATTATGTTCAAAAATTCTATGTTCTTGTAAGGTTAATTCTGTAATATTTGCTGGTTCTGTGGAATGTACTGTTGTGGTGAGAGCTGAAGCACTAGTACTAGAGCGTACTTCATCTCTAGCTAAGTTGTTATTTTGGTTTATTTGATAGTTCTCTGGTCCCTTATGTAGCATGGAGTGGTGTCTCATGTTACAAGACCGACAACAAAACCGACTTTTACATTTTAATTTAACTCCATGATTTGAAGAAAGGCAATCATAGCAAAGGTGTGAAACTTTTATAAAATGAATCCTGTCATTCACTGACTTTTCTATGAATCGAGGACAATTTTTTATAAAATGATTGGCCTTACAAAGTTGGCAATTCTGTGGGACTTGAGTCCTTGGCGGTTGATTCGAAGTTTGTTCACTGGGTTTATCCCCTTGGGATTGAGAATGGTCATGTGTTGGTCTGAAAACTATTTGTAATTTTTTTTTTTTTTTATTAAATTCTGGTTTTTGTTGAGCATATTTTGTGATTGTGGGTCTAATATTTCCGACAGATTCTAAAGTTTTAAATTTGTGTGTCAAATAATTATTTAGTTGTTCCCAGGTTGGCAGTGTCTTGATATTCTCTAAAGAGTTTTCAAATTCTTCTAAGAAAGATCGAGGTAATTTAGAGGAGCAAAGATAAATAAGATACATTAACTTTTAAGGTTTCTAAATTTCTAAAAGTTTTTCAACATCGCTTAGTTTCGTGTTCTTTATATACACAGCTGAAAAGATATCTCGGAACGTCGGCCACTCGCTGTATCCTCCCTTAAAAATATCCGTGTCACACGGTGGCAGTCGAGACATTGGAATGAATTCCGCATCATTGCTCACTTTGGGCGTTAGTTGCCTCTCTCTTTTCATTTTCTCTTCCGATTCTCTTTGTTTAGCTGTCTGGATTTGGCCGTTAATTTCCCTTAGGGCCTTTTTATATGAGTTAATGGCCTCCATATATTGACTCCTTAATTTATTTTTATCCACTGGTTTCTCTCCTTCTTGAAGAGCATAATCCCTGCATTCCACATATGTTCTTTTGACTTGGTCATAAATCGAATCTAACTGAACTCTCGATGCCTCTAATCTATATGTATCGTCTTCTGAGTTTGCAATGCTTATGATCGATGCATAATCTTGCAGATCATTCACGCAATTAGTAAATTTTTCCCGATTTAATTTTTCCATATTTTCAGCGAATTGGGTCTGACTTCAGAAAAATTTTTGTTTGACAATAAATTGACAAAGTCGCCCAATCCTAAGGATCAATCGCTTTGTTATTTGGGTAAAAACAGTATCAACAAGTTTTGCTTTAGCAAAACTTCGTTGTTTATTCCCAAATAAATCTAGCGACACGAGGGTTATGTTGTAGCGTAGAATCGAAAAAAATCTTTTTTTTTTTTTTTTTTTGACAAATATTTTGTTGGAGAGGAGTTGAAATTATAATCATTGTCAAAATTCGAATAAATTTCCAAAAATAAATCGAGGAAAAAATGTGTGCTGAGTTTACTAGACAAAAAATAAAAACAGCGTGTGTTGCTCTTTAACACTGAAAAAATCTCAAAATTTATATGTCTTGGTTTTAAGTCAAAAAGTTTGAGTAAAGAAATCAACCAATAAATCGTTATACCCCATCAAACCGTTTCAGTATTAAATTATATTGGGTCAAAAATTTCCAAATTTTTCAGCACAAATAATATTAAAGTGTCTTAAATAGCAAAATAATACTTTGAAATATGATGAAAGTGAAAATGTTCATTAAAATTATGTAAAAAATCCAACGAGAAAAAGCAAAAAGGAGACGAAAATAAATAGCATTTAAAACATCACCGTTTTTAAAATTTTTGTAAAAATGGCAAAATAAAATACAATACGAATTTTGCAAAATAAAAATTTTGAGGTTATTTAACCGTATTTTTTCTTTTTTTTTTGAAATCATGGAATTTGTATGTTTTGTTATGTTTTTCCAGTTCCAAATGCTATGTATTTAGAAACCAATATGGCGTTTATGTATAAGTAATGTGTCTTACAAATTTACCAAGATGATAAGAAAGTGTTGAGGTACAAATTTTAGGTTAGTTAACCAAAAAAATTTGTTTTAGGGTCTGTCCACCAAACAAGCTTTGTAAATGTGAAAACAGCAAAAAACATTTATGATGGTATAAAATGTTGTTGTTAATTTTGAGTCAATAGTAGAGAAAACTTAGTTCATTATTTCAAAATAGTAGATCTGCCAATTTAGAACACCGAAAATTATAATTCCCAAATCAAAATGTTAGACAATATTACAAAAATGTCGAATTAGAATTTTTTTTTTTTTTTTTTTTTTTTTTCTAAAATGGCTGATATCCTTTTTTTCATTTTAAAATATGAACCTCTTTAGGAGTGCTCGAGGTTATTTTCCAGTTTTTAAGTTTTATAAATTTCCAAAAGTAAAATGGCGATCAAGTTGTGTTTGTGTCTGGTTTAAAAAGTGTTTCGTTGAAGGGTCTATTTTTCAAAATACTCCCAAGAATTCACAGCTATTTTCCAAGTTTTCCAGTTGGTTTTCAAAAAATTCCAAAAATTTTCCAAAAAAAATATGACTGACAGAGTAGTATGTATTACTTGAGTCTTTCCAATTAATTTATTTCTATTTCATTTTTATGAAGTTACGTTGATAGAAAAAGAGTCTCCCAATTGGATTTACAAAAGGTGTCAAATTATTTGGGAACCAAAGAAAGGACCAGGGTCTTTGAATTGGTTTTCAAATAATTTCCTCCAATGCTTTCTGGGTAGGGATAAAAACTGTCTTTGTACACTCTTTGATCTTCTTCTAATAAGGGTCTAGGTTGAGTAGGGCGCTTCAGGTTACGTCTGACCGCTCTGTTTTCAGCACCAAGGTTATCCCAGGTAAGTAAATTTTTTTACACCGTACCGTGATCACGTTTAATTTAATTTTGTAGTTTGTTTAAATGGTTTTATTTTATTGTTTTTTTTTTTTTTTTTTTTTTTTGTATTGAATTGTTAAAATATTCACTTTTTTGTTTAATTTTATTCTTTAAATTTTATTAAAATTAGTTTTTTTGTGATTAAACAAATTGTTAACTATTTCCTTTCGAGGTGTTCACAGTCACAAAAGTTATGCTCAAGTTTCTAGAAATTTTCACTTTCACCAATCTTTAAATTTTTTGTCGTTAAGATTTTTCTTAACTTCACTTTGTCCGGCTCGACATTGGCCAAATGTTTTTTGTTTATCTTTTTTATTGTTTTTCCAATAGAAAGCTTTATATTTTAATTTTAGTGAATTTATCAATGTTTATTGGATAAATTCAAGGGTATTAAAAGGTAAGTATATACACTATAAATTCTCTTTAAGTTACAGGTAAGTATTTGCTTTATGTACAAAAAATTCACTTTAAATTTCAGGTAAGTATTGCTTTATGTACAAAAATTCACCTTAAGTTTCAGGTAAGTATTGCTTTATGTACAAAAAATCCACTTTAAATTTCAGGTAAGTATTGCTTTATGTACAAAAAATCACTTTAAATTTCAGGTAATATTGTAAATTTTAACTTGTTTCAAAATGAATATAACTCATATTTTTCACCACTATAAAATTTCTAACAATTCTAATAATCTAACAATTTTGGCACTTTATCAATTAGCACATTTTGCGCTTTCTTTCAATCACGGCGAGGGTATATACTTGTTGATCGTCGTAACTTGCAAACTTCGAATGAACCACAGAAAAAAGGCAACGTCACAGCAACCTGTTTTTAACTGTGACGTTTCCAATGCTGATTGGAATGCAAAGCATAGACAAATTAAGATATAGACAACGAAAAGTTAGTTTTGTCTTTTTATCCAGGTGGCTCTCATCATGTTTTGCATAGTCAACATGCTGATTTACGCGTTCAACCCACTCGACTTCGAAAACTCAGATAAATAAATTTGTAAAAAGATTTTTTATTAAAAAAAATTGTTGTGAATTATTTTGCACAAAAATTCATAGTATTTATTATATTGATTTTAGAATTTTTTTTTGGGCCTCGGTAAATCTGCCATCCTCTCTGAAGCGGCAGCCATCCTTTTGCTTGCATCTGCTTGTTCCTTGACCTTGCTGATGATGTGGATGGAAAATCCTGTTGTGATGTGCATTTGAATGGAGGTGAGTTTTGCACGGTTTGATGTACCATGTGTTGACGTTGGTTGGTTGGTACGTTGGTTGCTTACATTGGTGTCGTTGTAAGGTCTGTGTTTGTTGTGTTTGTGCTGACAGTGTCTGTTGTTTTGCAGTTTGTGTGTAGAGATGTGGTGAGTTCTTTTGGCTGGTTGTTGGTGTTGTTGAGATGTTATGTAGGTTTATTTATTGTTGTTGAGCATGTGTTTGTGGCGATAAATAGTGAAAACTTTCTTCACTGAACCGCCTGGTATGTGTCACTACTGCCATAGACAAATGAGATATAGCATAGACAAATAAAGATATAGACAACGAAAAGTTAGTTTTGTCTTTTTATCCAGGTGGCTCTCATCATGCTTTGCATAGTCAACATGCTGATTTACGCGTTCAACCCACTCGACTTCGAAACCACATTTTATCGTTTTTCAAGAATTTCACTTTATTATTCCGGAATTTTTTGATATCATCACGTACTTTTCACATTTCTTTTATTATGGAACAATTTTCAACTGACAAATATCTTACAGTTTTTGTTATTTTTAACGTTTTAGAATTGAGTGACTTCAATATTCCCACTCAAACCCCTGAAACGATATAGACGACATCTGCTGATTCGATTTTTTTCGAAGATAAACGGTGAGAGCATTTCGTTGTCTATATTTTCATTTGTCTATGGATATAGACAACGAAAAGTTAGTTTTGTCTTTTTATCCAGGTGGCTCTCATCATTTTTGCATAGTCAACATGCTGATTTATGCGTTCAACCCACTCGACTTCGAAAACACATTTTATCGTTTTTCAAGAATTTCACTTTATTATTCCGGAATTTTTTGATATCATCACGTACTTTTCACATTTCTTTTATTATGGAACAATTTTTAACTGACAAATATCTTACATTTTTTGTTATTTTTAACGTTTTAGAATTGAGTGACTTCAATATTCCCACTCAAACCCCTGAAACGATATAGACGACATCTGCTGATTCGATTTTTTCGAAAATATCGTTGTCTATATCTTAATTTGTCTATGATATAGACAACGAAATGCTCTCACCGTTTATCTTCGAAAAAATTGAATCAGCAGATGTCGTCTATATCGGTTCAGGGGTTGGAGTGGGAATATTGAAGTCACTTAATTCTAAAACTTTAAAAATAACAAAAACTGTAGGATATTTGTCAGTTGGAAATTGTTCCATAATAAAAGAAATTTGAAAAGTACGTGATGACATCAAAAAATTCCGGAATAATAAAGTGAAATTCTTGAAAAATGATAAAATGTGTTTTCGAAGTCGAGTGGGTTGAACCCGTAAATCAGCATGTTGACTACGCAAAACATGATGAGAGCCACCTGGATAAAAAGACAAAACTAACTTTTCGTTGTCTATATCTTAATTTGTCTATGCCATTGGTATTTTATTTAAAAAATAATTTTTGTCCAGTGGTCTTTAAAGGATTGCCAGCTGCTTCCAAAAATTGGCACTCCTGCGGCGAACTCAGAATTCTCCCCCGTATATTCAATAAGTGCCCGCAGATTTTTTCGTACTGGAATTGAGGAAATAAAAAAAATTATATATGTTGTTGTTGAGCTATAATTTTTACCTATATTTTTTTTCATTTTCAATCAAGTAATATTTATGTTGAAAAAATTTCCTGAATTGTAATCACACGACAGCAAACACACAAGTTACTGATTTTGACATTTGTGTTCGCATGTGTGCGAAATCAAACAGATTGCACTGAAATGCTTACATTTTGGTTCGCTTTGATTTTCGTACCATTTTCAGGCTGTTAGCATAGAAAATTGAAAATATAGAAGTCACTCAATTCTAAAATGTTAAAAATAGCAAAAACTGTGGGATATTTGTCAGTTAAAATTGTTCCATAATAAAAGAAATGTGAAATGTACGTGATGACATGAAAAATACCGGAATAATCAAGGATGTTCTTGAAAAACGATAAAATGTGTTTTCGAAGTCGAGTGGGTCGAACGCATAAATCAGCATGTTGACTTTGCAAAACATGATAAGAGCCACCTGGATAAAAATACAAAACTAACTTTTCGTTGTCTATATTTTCATTTGTCGATGAGTTTGGTTTACACCATGGCTCAATAAGATTGGTTGTTCAACTTCAAAGAAACTAACAAATACAACTCTGTGCTGGAGTATTATAGTGTCAAATATATACTTTTAAATATGCAACTGTTGGTTTTGTTTATTATTCATTTTTTAATTCTTATATTGGGGAAAACCCGCAAAACAATAATGAAATTTTGGGGTTATTCCACAATATTCAATCTAAAATAATAGGACAATACAGTTTTATCCCAAAATTGGCTTTTTTGCGCAACCGAATTTTAAATAATTTCAAATTATTGTATTTTGATTCAAAGCAATACACACACATACACCAAATGTTCATTTGTTTTAACAGAATAGAGGCAGCAAAAGAAAAAATGTATTTAGGGGGTAGCTGTGCCCCATCTGCTGTAATTGTGCAATGGTTTGTATATAGATCGAATATGTTTGATGACATTAATAAGAAATTGAATAGAGGTAAATTGTTTACAATTTTCAGAGTATACATAATGGTATATCAAACTCGTAGAAAACTCATCGATTAGCAAATAATCGAAGTGGGCTACTGTTGCTTTTGTCATTGCTATCAGTAGAACGAAAAATTCTTATGGTCAAGGACTGTAAATAAAAGGGCTAGGCTAGATTTGGTTAGAGGATATGGACCTAAAAATCAATATAAATCTTTGGAAACGAATGAAATGATTACCTCACATCGCATTGGATATTGACACATTCTTTTACCTGTTTGACCATTGAAGGCCCTTACATTATATAACATTTTTGCTGGACCGCCATGACATGTGTGAAACTGAATATCGGAGAAGACCTCCTACCTCTTCCTCCTAGAGGTATATATAGGGGTACCGGATCGAGAACCCATTGTGACCTACAAATACCAATTTTAAAAGAAATCCGTGGAAATGTGGCGAAAATCTTCAAAATACCGAATATTGGGAGATACCATTATGTAGGGGCTATAAAAAAGTGGACCTATACAAACAATGTTTCGCCACCAGAGCTAGAACCCATTATGGCCCACAAATACCAAATGTGGCGAAAATCAGGTACCGTTATATGGCTGATATACCAACAAGTAAGAACATAAGGTTAGGTTTAAATAAAAGTATCTGAATTCAAACGTGTTCCACTTTAAACTACAAATACCAGCAAGAACGTTTGTATAATGCTGTTAAACTTTCCAAGAAAAACATAAAGTGGGTGAAGGCGTTACATGGGGTCCATATCAAAACGGGAACCTCTATTGACAATTTTATACTTCAAGTAGATTTAGATTTAAAACATATTCGTGCATAATTGTGACTAGGATTATTAGAAGTAGCGCATAATGGGGGACTGTATCGTGATTTAATCAGACAGACGGACATCGTTAAATCGGCTTAGAATTTTATGGCGATTATAAATATGAAAAAACTGCAACCAACTTCAGACTGCTGTCATTTCTAAGCCACTCGTCCGATACCTGTTAAAATTATTCCAGTGACAGCTCATTATATTGTTTACAAGCGTACAAAAGCATTTTGAGTAGAATTTTCCAGAAAAAAATTATTCGTTATTTAATTCAAGCGTGATACTGTGATTTCTTTATATTTGGCTACAAAACCACAAGTGGCTATCGTTAGAGCACTCCAGTATTTAAATGTAAAAAAATCCTTTGTGTATAAAGCGCAAGAAATAGACTCAAAAGAGCTAAAGAGTTGTTTCTCTTGGCCGAAAGTGGTAAACCTCAAGCAAGCGCTTCGCCGGTAATGGGTCAAAATACCGCAGAGCAACATTCGGGCTGCGTGTGACAGTTTCATTGGCCGTTTGAAGGCCATAATTCGTGCCAAAGGTGACCAGTTCGAACAAATCTAAACTTATTCTAAAATTTGATGGTATTTCCGACATTTCTTGCTTTCATTCAATAAAATTTAAAAAAAAAAAGTAAAAAGTTTGGATTTTGTTTTTCTAATTTGCCCTGATAGCGGGAAATTATATTTTTTTCTTGGGGACGGACCCGGATATTTGACCCAAGTCCAAGACCCGTTTTGGACCCAGATCTACTAAACCAATATGGACAATATAGGCATCATTTGAAAGTACCTACCCAACAAGTGGTCACATGATGTGGTTATTTAGAACGGTTCGGGAATTGTATCGAAATTATTGATTTTCAGGACTCGGATTTTTAACTCCAAAATTTGTTAAATGATTTGTTGAAAATGCTGATCACCCAGATCTTAAACAGGTTGCTATTAAATACAAAAAATGTCACTACATCAGTTCAAGCCTATAAGAAAAACAAATAAAAAACATTAAGTTCGGCCGGGTAGAACTTTAATATCCTCCACCGTTGGATAATGCTGATAAACATTTCAAAAAAAAAAAAAAAAAAAAATGAATAAATAAATAAATAAATACATAAAGTGGGTGTGGTCGTTATATGGAGGTTACACCAAAACTTCTATAGACAATTTTACATTTCAAGGATTATCATTTACCAAATCTTCTTAAATACCAATTTTGAAAAAAAATTGGTGAATTCACTAGTAGCATTCGATTTACTAGTAGCATTATCATCATCCTCACCAGCAGTTCCTTCGTAGTCACTAAAAACAGTAGCAGAGGGAGGCTCAATTCGACCTCTTGAAAATCGCATACATAGACAAATTAATATATAGACAACGAAATGCTCTCACCGTTTATCTTCGAAAAAATCGAATCAGCAGATGTCGTCTATATCGTTTCAGGGGTTTGAGTGGGAATATTGAAGTCACTCAATTCTAAAACGTTAAAAATAACAAAAACTGTAAGATATTTGTCAGTTGAAAATTGTTCCATAATAAAAGAAATGTGAAAAGTACGTGATGATATCAAAAAATTCCGGAATAATAAAGTGAAATTCTTGAAAAACGATAAAATATGTTTTCGAAGTCGAGTGGGTTGAACGCGTAAATCACATTTTATCGTTTTTCAACAATTTCACTTTATTATTCCGGAATTTTTTGATATCATCACGTACTTTTCACATTTCTTTTATTATGGAACAATTTTTAACTGACAAATATCTTACAGTTTTTGTTATTTTTAACGTTTTAGAATTGAGTGACTTCAATATTCCCACTCAAACCCCTGAAACGATATAGACGACATCTGCTGATTCGATTTTTTCGAAGATAAACGGTGAGAGCATTTCGTTGTCTATATCTTAATTTGTCTATGGTATAGACCCCATATAACGTTACCTCCCGATATTCGGTATTTTTATGATTTTTGCCACACTTTTTCACGGATTTGTCTGAAAATTGGTATTTGTAGGTCATAATGGCTTCTAGTTCATGTGGCGAAAAATTGTATGTATAGGTCCACGCTTTGGTATAGCCCCAATATAATGGTACTTCCCGATATTCGGTATTTGTCTAATAATTGGTATTTGTTGGTCATAATGGGTTCAAGCTCCGGTGGCATATAACGGTACCTCCCAATATTCCGTATTTTGATGATTTTTGCCACATTCTTTCACGGATTTGTCTGAAAATTGGTATTTGTAGGTCATAATGGGTCGTGGTTCGTGTGGCATTGTATGTAAACGTCTACGCTTTTGTATTACCCCCATATAATGGTACCTCCCGATATTCGGTATTTTGATGATTTTTGACACATTTTTTAACGGATTAGTCTAAGAATTGGTACTTATAGCATAGACAAAGGAAGATATAGACAACGAAAAGTTAGTTTTTTATTTTTATCCAGCTGGCTCTCATGATGTTTTGCATAGTCAACATGCTGATTTACGCGTTCAACCCACTCGACTTCGAAAACACATTTTATTGTTTTTCAAAAATTTTACTTGATTATTCCGGAATTTTTTGATGTCATCACGTAATTTTCTCATTTATTTTATTATGGAACAATTTCCACCCGACAAATATCCTACAGTTTTTGTTATTTTTAACGTTTTAGAATTGAGTGACTTCAACATTCCCACTCAAACCCCTGAAACGATATAGACGACATCTGCTGATTCGATTTTTTTCGAAGATAAACGGTGAGAGCATTTCGTTGTCTATATTTTCATTTGTCTATGGCAGATGTCGTCTATATCGTTTCAGGGGTTGAGTGGGAATGTTGAAGTCACTCAATTCTAAAACGTTAAAAATAACACAAACTGTAGGATATTTGTCGGGTGGAAATTGTTCCATAATAAAAGAAATGTGAAAAGTACGTGATGATATCAAAAAATTCCGGAATAATAAAGTGAAATTCTTGAAAAACGATAAAATGTGTTTTCGAAGTCGAGTGGGTTGAACGCGTAAATCAGCATGTTGACTATGCAAAACATGATGAGAGCCACCTGGATAAAAAGACAAAACTAACTTTTCGTTGTCTATATCTTAATTTGTCTATGGTCTATGTGTTGACTATGCAAAACATCATGAGAGCCAGCTGGATAAAAATAAAAAACTA